CATTCTGCTGGGGCCCAACATCAGCAGTGACTATAGGAGATACTATAGTTGACGAAGGAAGAGCGATTAGAGGCTGAACGGTAGAAGGAGTTGTAATGATCCTGGAGGAAGCAATCTCCTGACACTCATCAAATATGTGCTCGGCTGCGGTGGATTCTGGGTCAACATAGACCCCCAGAGGGTTAATCCCTAGATCCTTATCAATTTCATCCGAAGTTGAACTGGTCTGGCCGTCAGCCGGAACTCGGTCGGAAAAACCATCTCGGAATCCCTGAGCATATCTAAGAGCTCCAACTCTTGAAAACCAAGCATGAAGAGCCAACATGCCACCATTCACTCTGCTAATGGTGTCAATCAGAGCGTTGCGCTCGTCCAGAGCTCTTTCTCAAATGCCATCCGAGCAGACTGCTCGTCAGCCAGAAGGCGCTGGAGCTCTGCCTTTTCATCTCTGACTGAATCGCGCTCAGTCTGCCAGACACTCTTCTCAAGCTGAAGGGCATCTTTTTCATCCTGAAGAGAGTCGGTTTCCTTCTTCAGAGCATCTCTCTCTTTTTCAGCTTTTTCAAGCCGAGCCAATATCTCGGTGTTCTTGTTGGCAAGAATATTGTTTTCCTTATTAGCCATATCCAGGCTATCAGAGAATTTACGGGCCCTGGCGTTCCCCATTTCCACCTGTTTCTGCATAGCCATCATACTGAACAAAGTCTGCATAGATATGCATGAATTCTGGTTAAACCGATCGCCTGGTCGGACGAAGGCAAGAGCAAATATTATGAGAAGATTCATGAGTTAGAAAATAAAAGTCACCTCCATGGCAGATTGGGGAAAGCGGCTGAACACATCCTTTTGTGACAGACCCTTCGCTGCCTCAAGGTCTTTTGGAGTCCACATGCTCCTATAGTACGCCATGGCGGTCTGGCCGTCTTTGATCATGGTCTCATTCGGCTTCACGAACGTCCCATCCGTTCGGGTGTATCGAGGAGCCCATGGTGGTAAAACAGGAGTAGAAGCAGAGGCAGAAGCTGAAGCAGAAGTAGAGGCAGCAGCTGCAACAGGCTCGGAGGGGGCAGGAGCTCTGACTGGGGGATGCAAGAGAGCGCTCGGCCCAGAAACTCGGGTCCTCCTTGTAAGAGATTCCTCCTCGAGGTTGACTCCACCGTCAGGATGAGGTCTTTTACCTCACTCTTTGTCCCGAACACCCCCAGCAGCAGCAGCGGTAGTAGTGATCTGTGGAGATGTGCTCGGGTTGGTAGCAGGGGTGCTAACAACAGGATCAATAGCCACCACACTCGGAATAGTGTCAGAGATGGTGGCTGAAGAAGAGGCTGATGCGGGAGAGGAGGTTGCTCCAGCAGCAGTAGTGGCTGGGGGAGGATTTTTCCTCCTACCAAAGGAAAGAATCTGAAGCCTGCTCATTGTATAGCCGAGGGATGAGAGCGCTAGAAGGTTGTCTGAAGTGAGGAGGTCTGAGCAAGAAGGAATATCGTTCAGAACGTATTTCTTCAAGTAATTACTCCTATCCCTGCAAACACTGTAGCTCAAGTCATCACAAGGTATGTCTAAGGAGTGACATAAGAAAGTACAAAAGCGAGGAACACATGTTTCGTAGGGACAATCGTTTTTATGAGATTTGAATTTCTTATATGAAGAGACAGAACAGACGCTAAAGGCGCTCGGGATTGGGTAATCCTCTGCAGCCGGCGAAGACCAGGCCCCACTAACACTCACAATGTTATCCCTACAACCTTTTCAGATTTGATTGTATCCGTACATATGGACATCTTGTCGATCGGGTAAAGGTGGTAGAATGGCTCTTCAGTTCGGATCTTACTGACCTTATAGCAAAGAAGAAGATCTATGAGGTCAAGATCCAGACCTCTGTCACGAATCAGTAGTAACATAACGGATATGATTCTAAGGAAATTTGGGTTTACCTGCAGAGGGGATATCCCCAGTCTATTGAAAACATAGTTAAAAAAGGGATGCAGAGGGAACCTAACGACATTTAGTTGAAGGTTAGTAAATAAAACCTCGCTGGGAAGAAGGCCGGCACCGGTCATAATATTAACATCCCTAGGGCAAACCCTAACTTGGATGTCGTTAGGAAGTCTAAGTCTCATACGAAGAACATCTAGATCTACAACCATAGTGAAAGCGAATGAAGGATCTAAAAGTGTAAAAGAAGTCTACCGAAAGTAAAAAGGAACAAGACTAACCTCTGGGGTAGAAAGCAGCAAAGAACGCTGCAAGATCGCTGGAAGAGTGACTCTTGAAGAATTTTACCGGATGAAACTTAGCACGGTTCTAAAAAGACAAGCGAGAGATTTGACTGATGATGGAGAGAGATGGAGACGGTAAAAAGGCATGAAGTGACATTCTAGAGCCTCGTAAAGACGAAGTGGACCCGAGGGCCGAAGCGTCAGGGAGGCGAGAAGTTTATCGAATCTCGGAACATTGATTCCGGATCCGACCGTCCATTCCCCCATAAGAATGTCTTGAGCCGTCAACGTCATGATGAGACGCCTTTGATAATTACCCTCTTATTAAATAGGGAGTAATTATGGGGGCAGTTGAGGAGGCCATAAGTGATATGGGCCGGATATGACCAGCGAACATGGCATCCGGTCCGAGCAGCTGGGTCCAGCCCATAAAGAAATACTGCCATATGGGCCGAACGCGAATAGCCCATCGAAGATGACCAAAGCCCACAGAAGAACGGGCCCAGATCTAGCAACCCATTAATATTTGTAAATACCTATAAATATGAGAAGTAATGGGGAGAGAGATTCATTCTGTTGAAGTGTAAGAATTCTAGAGAGAGAAAATGGAAATGAATTCCTTGCATCTTCACATATGGATCCACCATTAAGTTAATCTGTTATCCAATGATATGATGGGTGCCCTTTGCATTTGTTCCATATGTTTTCCTAAATAATCATGATTCTTGGCTTCCCTAAGCCTTGTGTCATAGCTTTTGCGCTTTTGTTCTTTCCGCGTTTCTTGTATTTTTTATAAGAGAAATTATTAGTAGATGATTGAGATCATGTGATTTCGGCTGATCATCACATAATTAAAAAAAATTAAAAATAATTGACATACTTAATTACATGACAACTTATGATTGATCGAGATCGATCACATGATCTTAAATTATCTAATAATTTCTCTTTAGAGAATGCCCACTTGTATTGTATTCTTTTTACAATACTTTTCTTTCTTTTAATTAAAACTTAGTGCCACACAAAAACATAAAAAAGATATGAAAGTGATTCTTCATTAGCTAATCGATTTTCTTTAATGTTTTGAGCCACATTAAATATCCATGTGATTCTTTGGTTTAACAAAAAGATAAGGTTCACCATCGGTGGTGGAGTGGTGGGGTAGTATTTTTCCCGTTATATAAAGGGATCACCATTCATCAAATTAATTCAGTAGTACAGTAATGGCAGCTACACAGTCACAACAGCTGAAGAGCAACTTGGACGGCACAATCTCCCGCGATTCAGAAATGCAGATGTCAGATTCCGGTTTTAACAAAGCGGTTGGATCACCTTCCCCTTCATCATAGGTTTCTCTCATGTCATATTCAACCATATGTGTATATCACAGACATATTTTTAAGACGTCTTTTTGTTCTATTGCAGCAACTATGACAGGCTTGACACTAGCCTCAGGTGGTGTGATGGCCAATCTTATTGTTTATCTCATTGGCAAATTCAATGTAAAGAGCACCGATGCTGCCCAAATTTCTAACGTGGTTGGTGGTTGCATCAGTCTATTTCCAGTGATCGGAGCGATTATTGCGGACTGTTTTCTAGGCTGCTTCTCTGTCATCTCCATTTCTTCTTTTATCTCTTTGCTGGGAAGTGGTGACAATTATATATATATATATATATATATATATATGTATCAGTTTCGATCACTTTCTTCTTGATACAAATCATTATATTGCTAGTTGAATTATAATATTCAATTTTTATGAACTACGTAAAAAAAGACAGGTTTGTACGTGCACTTGATTGTGTTGACTTACTTATTTGCAACTTAAACTACTACTAACAATACCTGTGTGTTCCCCAACTGAAAATTAATTGCCTACTCTATATTTTTTTCCATACATATGAGAGAGGATAATAATTCACTTTCTTATAAATGTTTCATAAGAAAAAACAAGGGCTATTCAATATAAGAAACTGTACTTCATAATCAAATGAAACTGCGAATAATTAAGAACTAATCTAGTTTGGTTCATATAAATTAAAATGTGTAATGTTATGTTTCGCGAAATCGAATCGGCACCATAAATTTGGTATTGAAAAAAAAAAATTAATACAAAATTTGAATTAAACTTACTGCGATCCCAAATCTAAAACACCAATTAAATATTCCCGTAAGTAAAATTATATGAGATTCTAGTTTCATTATTACGTTCATGCATCTTGAATTCCTTTTCTTTCTTTTTCTCTCTCTCTCTGTCTTCCCCTCTTAATTTTCGTTATAACCAATAAATTTAAGCTTTAACCTCAGAATTCATTCCACACGTTGGAGTTTTCTCTTTTTACAGAGATAATGTTTTGTTATATATATATATTGGGATAAATTACAAAGAAAATGTAACTAGTACAATAAGCAGGTACTATGCATGATGTACTTTCTAGTGTATTAAACTAAACAGATCTCAATGAGTTGACTCAAGTAAGTAAATCACTCGGTTTTGGTATTCATGAAGTATTAAATCTAAGATTTGTCTCTTTTTGAGTGTAAATAATTCTTTGACTGGGGTGTGAGTATCAGCTAGGGAAAAAATTTTGCCATTTTTCATTTTTTCAAAAATTTGTCTCTTTCAAATTTTTTGCCATTTTTCATTTTTTCAAAAATTTTGTCGTAGCAAGGTCATTTTTATCTTTTCACGTTGTGCGAACCAGACACTACAGGGTGTGCCGGTTGTGTCCGAGAGTTGTTTGGAACATTCCATTGAGTTCAAAACTCTTTGAAATGTAAGGGTAATCATTTTTGCATTTTTTAATTTTTCGGCCCGAACGGTCCTGTGTGAAACTCACTACCGGAATTGTTGCATACGGGTATTTTAGTTAGGTCCATATGCATTATATTTATTTTTATTTGTTGTGTTTTAAGTGGTTGTAAATTAAATGTGTACATATGTATATGTGTGGTGTAGATTAAAAGATAAAAGAAAAAGAGAAAAGAAAAGAAAAATAGGTGGGCCCCACCATTTCATTAAACCATCACCTAAAGGCCATTTACAGGCCATCAGTTCTCTCTCTCTCTCTACTATGATTTTTCTCGCTCCCTTTTGGTTCTATTTTTCTTTTTCTTTTTGTTACAAATTCAAGCTTTGATTTCTCCCTCATTTGTCGGAATTTTTAAGTGCCGTTTACGGCAAATCGAAACCCACAACAAGATCTTCAAATCCATACCAGCAATTTCAGCTTTTGGCCACTCTAAGAAGTCCAAAAATTGAGACCCATTTTGAGGGTTTGAGGTGAAAATTGGGGCTTTTGGCTTAGATTGAGGTAGGGGTTTCTAACCCACATTTTCTTGTTTCTTTGTGAGTTAATTTCATGTAATTATTGTTAATTTGTCTAATTGATGATAATTATCCTAGAATGATTTTGTTGTAATGTATAAAATTCATGATTTTATATATACATGTTGATTTGTGTGAAAAGCATGCTTAAGTGTTGATTTCCTATGCCTATTGTATTACTAATTGCTAGAAATGATATATGTAAGCATGTATAAATTTTTTAGAATTTCTTGTGAAGCATGCTTTATTTGAATTAACTTGCCTTAAAAATGATATAATTGTTGTAATTGAAATCTATGCTTATATGTGTTGATGAAATTATGTGAAAAACATGCTTGGATGTTAATTTTCATGCCTGCGGTGTCTACTATTTCTCTAGAAATTACTATGAAGGAGTATTTTAAATTGTATTATATGAAATTACTTTATGCTCATATTGTTGGAGAAATATGTTACATGCATTTCATAGCATTAGGCATGAATAAAAAGGGTGAAGTGTTTTGAAATGAAAGCGAAAGGAGATTTTGGGAAGAAATTTGAGAAAACGGTTTTGAGAAAACCCGGACACCAAGGGGGTACCGAGGGTCCGTGGCGTTAATGTAGCCTAGAGGAAATTAGGGAGATCACCCTAGCGTGATTGAGTTATCTGGGTCCCAAATAACGCCGCGAGGGTACCAAGGGTCAAAGATAGTAACCAATCATTCTCTCGTCGCTAAGGGGTTACCGAAGGGGGTTATATTAATGGTTTGAAAAATGATGAATGGAAGTAATTTTGAAAATGGGGAGTGACACTTATAGTATCACATATCATGGTACGGCGTTGTTATTTTAGAATTGGAATTAATGTTGTGTTCCTTCCCGGCATAGTATGACCCCGTTTCTTATTTCTATTCATTGTTTGGATTTACTAGGTCACAAGATGTATGTCTTAGGCACCACTTACTGAGCAATTTACACACCCCTTATATTTAATATTTTTTTCAGGACACGGATGACAAGTGGTGGACGGCGCTCCTCCACAGGGTTTGATGGGTTAGTAGACCATTTTGACATACCTTATAGCTATAATCCCATTTTATTTATTTATTTATTTGTTATTACTTATTTTTTTATATAAATTCGAAATGACACGTATAATATGTATTGATGTAGGAAAGAATGGTGTTGTCTCTAGCTAACCTTGGGTTTGGTTAAGGACCCGGCAAACGGTTCAGACCTACGGGTTCGGGTCGTTACAAATTTAGTATCAGAGTGATGGTTCGAATACCATTAGGACGACGGGTAGAGGTTTATTTAGGTTTGCATTGGGAAGTTGAATTGCATGATTATGTGCTACGTGTTAAAGTGTTTAAATGTTTGCGAAGCATGCTTACTTTCTTACCTGTTTATTTCCTTACATGAATCACAAGCTTATATGTTGTCTGTGTGTAACACTGACTTAAATGATCCAAGAGTAGATGTTATGTTTTCAGTATGTAATTGTTTAGCAGGCGCGTTTTTATGTTGTATTAGTTCTGCGAGTTATCCCTTACAACTGGGAAAGGTCTTAGCATTGTGAGCATGGGTGATGTGAATAACACAATCTTTTAAGTCTGGTTTGATCTGGACGTGTTATTTCATTAGGAGTCTTTTCCCTAGAGACTAGTAACGGTGGAAGGGTCTGATCTTAGACGTCTTCCAGGACGGAAGTCCTCATTTTCTTGCACGGGCGAGAGTTTGTGTTGTGTTTCCTCTGTGTAGTGAATGGGCTCTTGGGATGTTGGATTAGTAGGGTATGGTGTGTGAGTCATAGGATCCATTTGTGATACCCCACGGATCCGAGACACGGGTATCACAGTTGGTATCAGAGCATATATTAAACACGTAAGTTTCAATTATTAATTAGTTAAACCCTAGAGACTATCTAGGTGCACAGAACACAAGCCAAAAGGGAAAGAGGAAGATAAGAACTTGCCTATACAGTTTTATAAACAAAACCTTATCGCCGTTGTTCTAAACTTTTCGGCAACCACTGCAATAATGTCTAACCTCCTAATACTTCTGCCCTTTCCTTCTCCTAGGTTTGGCCTTGAAACCTTAGTTGAGAACTCACAAACTTGCTCTGTTCTCTCAAAACCTCACTCTGTAACTCTCTGTATCTATGTTACGTGAGTAGGGTTTTTCCAACCCTTAATACAGATTATAACTATGTATATATAGGCGTAAAAATCCTAAACCCTAATCCTTGTTTAATTAGAGAAAGAGCCCTAATTCTAATCCTAGCCGGCCCATGAAACTATCTCTATTACCATAGTGCGGCTTACCTATACGTGAATTGCAACCCAAAGTTAACTGTAACCTAAAACATAATTAAATTAAATCCAATTAAATAATTAAAGACACTTAACCAATTAATTCCAATTAAATAACCCAATTAATCAATTAAAACACTTAAACAATTAATTCCAATTAAATAACCCAATTAATCAATTAAAACACTTAAATAATTAAATCAAATAATAAATAAAAACAATTAAACCAAAAAAAGAAAAAAATCACCCAAAAATACAATAAAATAATAAATAAAATGCCGAGACTATCCTTTTAAAATTAGGGGTATTACACCATTCATGTAAGCAAAGTTGATTAGATATCATAGAACGTGAAGTGGTATGTAGTGTGTGACTTGTAAGGTTCAAGTGTTATACGGGTTAAGCAAGGGTTGTATTTAGGTTTTTATTTAGAAGTTCACTGATATTTAAGGTTGAAAGTTTGTCTCTTAGATTGTCGTTTTGGGAGTATGAGTTAAGGTTGATCTTGAGTTGGCGACGAGATAAGTAGGTTGCACCTTTTGTTTTGATTTCTAGTGAGAAAGACATAAGTTTAATGTGGTGTTGTTTGGTGACCATAGAGTGTTGGTCACAGATTGTGTTGAGCCAAGATGAGGAATGACCTCTTGGGCTTGAGGTCTGTTTTATTTGATTTCTTTGTTTTGTGGCACTGTAGGTGGGTGTGCGTGAGCCTGTGCAGGTGGCACCAGAAGGCTACCACACTGGGCGAGCTGCGGGCACACAACTCAGATGAAATCGATGTGGACATTCCATTGTGTTGGATGGTAATTGTAGCGATTGGTTAGGAAATGATAGTGTTGGGGGTGTAAGAGTTATATACCCTTTTGTTTGGTCAGATAGGTTAGTCGTAGGTATGACTTGAGTGTCCAGTTTGATACCAATGAGAGACCATTGTTTGGTAATTGTCGTAGAGTGTAATTTGTATGGTTGACCGTTTGACATGGTGTCTGTTGTCCCTCTTAGGGATTGTTCCTGTAGCGTTGCCGCGTAGGATTCCTATTTTCTTGTAGCGGGTTGTTGACTATAGTGACGGGTATCATGAGTGATGTGTGTTTTCATGTTGAGTTAGTATCACTTTTGAAAGAACGGTTGGTAGTGGAGACTTGTTGTTTCCAAGGGATTGGAGTTGTATAGTTATTTTGGGAAGGATGATTATAGGGGTATCAGTACTTGAGGTTCCTGTATTGTAGAGCAAGTTAGTTTAGGGGTGATCCTAGTATTCAGGAAGACAATGGTGATTAATCGCATTATTGATGGTTTTAAGGAGACACTTGGGTGTTGACCATTTTGGATTTTTATGCTCATTTTTTTTTTGAGGATTTGTTGGCATGGCATTGCCGTGTGGATGTTCTTTTCTAGTGGTAAATAGTGGTTGTTATAAGGAGTAGTAAGAGTTATGTTTGTTCTTTGTTTACGATGATATTATCTTAAGGATGTTTGGAGAAAAATCTTTTAGTAATGACTTGAAGGTCTGATGGGATAATAGGTTTGAACGGTTGTTGGAATGAATGACAGTGGAGGTGTTATGATGCCATGGTGTGATGTTTAGTGCTGATGCGCAGGATGGTTTCAGGTATGATCCGAGGATGGATTAGGGATTGTGAGTTGTTTGTCGTGTGTTGTCAGATAGGTGATGGGGTTACGTGTCAGTTGAAGTGATTGGGGACAGCTTAGTTTCTTGAGCTAGTGAGAGCGGTGTTGCTAGATAGGCACTTTTTTCCTTTGACGAGTCATAGGTTGATGTGATTGGTGTCACGAGTCTTGTTCCTTGTGTTTGTGTGACGTGAGTGTTGGTGCTCTTATCTGATTGGTTTTGGTTAGCATGGGTGTTGTGGGGTAGCGTATGTGAGGTTCCGATGTCGATTGTGTATGACGGTCCGTTTGTGGTGAGGTCGCCTAGAGTTGTGGTCGTAGTCCTATATGTGTTTCTAGTCAGTTTTCCTCCTTGTGAGCAAGGAGTTCACTTCATTTCTGATGAGATTGGGTGACCATGGTCTGATGATTGGTGAGTAGTGTGTGACAGGGTATCAGGTGTATTCCGGTGAGAGTGGTCGGTCTTTTGTGAAAGTGGAGTTTGTTATCCTTTTTGTTGTTCTATATTATTGGAGAAATATATTACATGCATTTCATAGCATTGGGCATGAATAAAAGGGGTGAAGTGTTTGGAAATGAAAGTGAAAGGGGATTTTGGGAAGAAATTTGAGAAAACTTTTTGAGAAAACCCGGACGCCAAGGGGGTACCGAGGGTCCGTGGCGTTAATGTAGCCTAGAGGGAACTAGGGAGATCGCCATAGCGTGATTGAGCTATCTGGGCCCCAAATGACGCCGCGGGGGTACCAAGGGTCAGGGACAATAGCCAATCATTCTCTCGTCGCTGAGGGGTTACCGAAGGGGGTTACATTAACGGTTTGAAAAATGATGAATGGAAGTGATTTTGAAAATGGGGAGCGACATTCATGGCATCACATATCATGGTACGACGTTGTTATTTTGGAATTGGAATTAATGTTGTGTTCCTTCCCGGTATAGTATGACCCCGTTTCTTATTTCTATTTATTGTTTGGATTCACGAGGTCACAAGAGGTGTGTCTTAGGCACCACCTACTGAACAATTTGCTTAATCCTTATATTTAATATTTTTTTCAGGACACGGATGACAAGTGGCGGACGACGCTCCTCTACAAGGTTCGATGGATTAGTAGACCGTTTTGACATACCTTGTAGCTTTAATCTCATTTTATTATTTATTTATTTATTTATTTCTTATTACTTATTTTTTTAATAAATCCGGAATGACACGTATAATATGTATTGACGTAGGAAAGAATGGTGCTATCACTAGTTGACCTCAGGTTCGGTTAAGGACCCGGTTAACGGTTCGGACCTACGGGTTCGAGTTGTTACAAAAAATATGTATTAAAATAAACATAATGAAGAGTTCCTAGAATATAATTCTATTTTTAATGCTAGTATATATATGGTGGAGTTCTATAATGGGTGGATGTTTGCTCATTTACTCAAAAATTTAAGTTATTGGGTAGTGTTGTATGCCCATTCATTTATACCCAATCATTCTCCCATTCGGATCCGATATGGGACAAATCTCCCCTTATAACATTCTCTCACACCCGAACTTGTAACTCCCTCGTTGCGGTAGGGCCACTCTGCCTACCCGGGTGGCTCAGTTGGACGCCTTCCGGGTTAGGTACTTGGCGTGACACTAAATTAAGGACTGAATTTATTAGCTCTGATACCAACTGCAAGGGGCCATTTATCCAAAAGTTTAAGCTGTTGGGTAGTGCTGAATACCTACCCATTTATACCCAATCACTCATTCATACGGATCTGATGTGAGACAGATCTCTCTTGTAACAAGTCCACATAAACCTGGGTCATCGAATGAAAAGAATTATTCAAATGCTATTGTCCAAATAAATAAATACCACAAAACCAGTATCACATTTTCATCAAAAGCTAACATAATGATATACACTTCAAGGGAATGGTCCTTTTCCTTCTTACCGCCACAGTCGATTCATTGAAACCTTCAACATGTGGAAATGGATCAATCTTATGCAAAATTCCATCTAAAATCCAATTCACAGTCTTATATGCCATTATAACACTTATATTAATAGGTGTCGGGGGCATACGGTTCACTATAGCAACAATGGGAGCGAACCAATTTGATGATCCCAAGCATCATGGGATTTTCTTTAACTGGTTCTTCTTCACCTTCTACATTTCTGGAGTTGTAAGTGCAACAACTATTGTCTACGTTGAGGATAACGTAAGTTGGGCAATAGGGGTTGGCCTGTGTGTTGAGTTTGCATGCAGCGAAATTGTTGTGGAATATAATATGGATAGATAACCTAGAGGATTGGTTAATAAATTCAACTTGCTCTTTTATCCAAGAAATAAAACTAAAATCAAATCATAAAGCAAAAATAAAAGTGCAAGTAAAGTAAATAGAGTTTGAGAGATGACACCAGGATTTTAGTGAGGAAACCCCAATTTGTAGAATAGACCAATTGTAACAAGAAAAACCTCGTTGGACTAAGCAGTCCTGAGATAAACGATCCACTATGTTTGAAACAAAGTATACCGAACTTTGATTTAGTCTCACACCCTATCGTTCTATAAAAAATCAATCGCTGACAATCCCTGACTTTGCGACTCCCCCGTCCAATAGCTCTCGACCTCAGACTTACTCTTGATCTCTGTAGAAGAGTTGTAGGTAGATCAAACAACACTCTATGAATGTTTTGACCCTTTCAAAGTGTGATCACTTCACTCCTTTTCTTCTATATCTGAATTTGACGAAGAACGAATGAATTCTACTTTTCGGAATTTCTGAATCTTTAATTATACTCCAATTCCGATAAGATAGAGAACAACACTACTAAATCACTCTTATGTTTATGTGTGTGCTATCAAAAATAAAATCAGAAAAATTAGATTAATTTTCTGAATAAAAATCTCTCTTAAAAGGCTCTCAATTATATCTGGATTTTTTATGCAAAAGCCACCAATAAACCTATGTATATGACAAGGTTTATATAGAGTGTAGAATGTCTTAGTCCTTCTGAAAATATGGAAAAAATCATGCATAGGACTTGGAAGGAAGTTTAGTCCAAAAAGGAATCAAACAGAGCAAAAATGAAAGTTTAGTCCACTGGTACTTTATTAGGCATAACAATAGGAGTCCAATCCAGCTTAGTAATCCTTCAAACTCTAACCATGGATCGTCACATTGGGCCACATTTCAAAATCCCCGCTGGGTCCATCCTAGTCATTTCATTCATCTCCTCCTGCATCTCTCTCACCGTCATCGACTGATTCCTTACCCCACGTGGCAAAAGCTAATCTTCGACACCACTCCAACGTATTGGGCTTCGCCACGTGCTAAATGTACTTAGCATGGCTGTGTCAGCCCTAGTGGAGTCCAAGCCGCTTGATATAGCTCGGGCCCACCAAGTCCAAGACCAGCCCGGTTCCACGGTGCCAATGTTGGCCTTGAGGCTCCTTCCACAGCTAGTCATTGTTGGTATCAGCGAAGCATTTCATTTTCCGGGACAAGTTGCATTGTACTATCATGAATTTCCGGTGTCGTTAAGAAGCATGGCAACTGCAATGATCGCGATGATTATGGGGATAGGTTATTATTTAAGCACGGCCGTGATTGATTTGTGTAGGAGGGTAACTGGATGGTTACTGGATAATGTAACTAATGGGAGACTAGATAACGTATATTGGATGTTGACTGTAGTTGGGGTATTAAACTTTGGTTATCATTTAGTATGTGCTAGGTTGTACAAGTATAGAAATGTTGAGAAGATTGAGGATGATAATTCTAGCTATTACAAGTGATGTTGTTGATAGCAAAAAATGAAAGGGCTTTGATGTATCTACCTACTGTTCCTCAATATATATTTGTTTATCTAATTAAATAACAAAAATCAGTAATCAGTGAGAATTATACTGTGTTTTGACATGATAGATCAATTGTTTGGTATTATGATACTTTTCTCTGGTGGGTTGCTGGTATTAGGATTTGTAGCGCAATCAAATTCACCATCAGGCAAGGGCGGATTCAGGATTTTTAGGTGGGGTGGGTTAACATTAAACATTAATACTTTGGACCTTTATTTTAGTATGGTGGCTGAGTTTACTTGGACTTCATTGAATTTTTGGAGTGGACTAATATTATTAATTTTTTTTTTTAATTTTTTGGACTGGGTTAATATAATAGTATAGTAAAAAAAAAATTTTGGGATGGGCTACAGCCCACCTTTGCCTACCCCTGTATCTGCCCCTGACATCAGGCATCTATAAAGAGATTATATCCACAGTACTCTTTTGATACATTGATGTATACTTGTTTATCTTGTGATACATTGATGGATTTCACATCATTAAATAACAAAATCAGTAGTATTGTGAGAAACATACTATGTTTTAACAAATGTATGGTATTATGATACCTTTTTCTACTGGGTTGCTGGCATATGGATTTGTAGCGCAATGAATATATACATATATGTTGCATTTTAGAGTATTTAATCGGTATTTTAAATTTAAAATTAAAAAAAATTAATCTAAAATTTAACTAAATTTATTTTAAATTCAAATCTAAGCCTCTATTTGGTGTTCCAAAATATAGCAATACATTAATCGGGACTCGCTGATATCGATAGATGGATCAAAATTCTCTTCTATACCGTTATTTTACCTCTTCTGAACATGAGATGGGGCGAGAGAATGGCTTTGAGTCAGTGATTGCAACTCTTGCCTCTCCTGCTACTGCCACTGCCAAAGAGATGGGCATTCTAGGTGTGGGCTCAAGCGCAACGACAAAACCAGCTTTTGCCGCGTGGGGTCATCCACCCTATTGAAATGTGTGCGGCACAAAATTTTTACTAGTTCTCCATATGTAGACCAGCACCCGTTGAAGTTTTAGTATTCACACTCTTGTCCCTCGATTTATCATTTTTTCACTCTGTTTATTTGTATGGATATATATTTCTCCGGCCAATAGATACTCTCCTGTTCCAATTTAGATGTCACTTTTGAAGAGTAGAAATTTTTTAGAGGACAAGTGGGACATGCCTTGTCCCTTGAAAAGTTACTAATTTGCTCCTCAAAGTTTTAAATATTCAAATTTGAAATTTTAAACTTCAAGGACATAAATGAAAGGATGTAAAATATATTGTTTGAAAAATAATAGTGACAATTATTTTGGGATAGATCAAAAAAAAAACTGTGACATTTTTTGTTTGAAATAGAAGGAATAATATTTTCTTCTTCTCATAATAATTGTCATGTTTTGAGAACCGTAATTCACATGACACTTATTATGTAACGATAAGAGTGCAAAATTTGATCAGGGTCATTAAAAAAGGATTACAATTGGTTGGGTGAGTGAGTTAAAAGTGCCGCATCATCCCACTGGTAAATTGTCTATCCATTTTTGTGTCGAGCAGTGTTAAAAGGTGACACTTCAAGCATATAACACGAGTCTTAAGACGATAGGGCCCTAATTCTCGCTATGTGCTGAATATATTTAAGTATTTTCAAACATTAAAGCATTATACTCCCTTTTTAATTGTCCACCTTGTAGACTGTGATTCACATGGATAATTAAAAAAGTTTAATTGTTCACCTCGTAGACTGTGATTCACGTGGACAATTAAAAAGGGACGAAAATAGTATATATATACAGAGTGGGCCCAACGTGGGCCTAGATGCAATAGCCCTAATAAAAACAAGTCCACTAAAAGCATGATAATAAATTGAGCAACTACCGACCTGACCCAACAATTGCACTAATTGTGAACTTGAAAACAGCTGTTAGTTACGGCTAGTTGTATCCTTTACCAGTGGTTATTCTGAATGGAACTCCGCTGGACTGAGGCCATGAACGGCGAAGCAAGGAGCAATCAAGAGGGACTCCGCTCAATCACTCCGGCGATCGACTAATCTGGAGACATAGGTGGTGGGTGACTTGGAGCTGGGAGGAGATCCATTCACTGGCCAGCTCTAAAGAGGAACCCGTTCGATGATCGATCCCAAAGTTTCAGAGATGGAGACGATTACAGATTGCAAGATAACAGACGGATTGGGTGGAAGGACGCCACAGTAAAGGTTCGAATGTCATATTCTGTCCATTTTTAAGGCTTGTGTTGCTGCCCTGTAAGTGTCCTGGCTCGACCAGAAATGGACCATACAAGTTTTTTATTTATTTATTTTTTTATTTTTTAGCATCAGGAACTTACCTAGGCAGAGCCTTACCCAAGAATACACCGAGTAAGTCGGAGAAATTGAAATACTTGATAAGAATCGAACACTGATCGATTGAATGCTAGTCTCAAGCACCTACCATCACTGCCAAGCCCCCGGGCAGACAAGTTACTAGTGGGATGCTGTCACACTCTTTCACTGATCAAACCAATTGTTATTCTTGTAATCATTGTGAACAGTATTTTTATGATTTATCGGCGAAAGGGATATACAATTATGAAGGGAAAAAAAAAAGGGAAATTGTTGCTGAGTTATAATATAAATACTTGAGTTTTTTTATTTTTATTTTTATTTTATTGACTTAAAAATTACATTTACCTCTATTGAAATTGTAATTCTATCCAGAAGAAATTATTGGACATACCAGATTGTGGACAATGTAATACATTGTCTAATGATGAAAAATTATTGGCTACTTCAGAGTAGGACTGTGCGACAGTTTAGTACCCCTGCCCGATAGAAAATAATTGAAATAAAGATGTTTTTTGTTTTTGTTTTTGTTTTGGTTTTCTGTTTTTTAACTATGGTTGTGTAAGGCCACTGAGGACCCTAGTTCCAAAAGGGGATATTGTGAAATCTCACATTGTTTGGGAGAGAAGTTCTTGACATTTATATATATATATACATACTCTTTCACTTTGAAAATTGAAGAAATATTGTGCAAAACAAACAATATCTATATAGGCTAGACGGGTCACTCTGATGTATAATTTGCCGAAACCTACGCTCGCACCATATGTAAGTACTATGATACCATGCAAAATGACTATTTTACCCCTCTACTAACTAAAAGGACATTATTGACCTCACCTTTCATGTTTAAAAGACCAAACAGTTTCGAATATTTTATAAATAAAGATGGGTGCGAGGGGTTCAGAGAGAAAGAACAAAGAGAAAAAATGTAAGGGGTTTATGGATGAATGTTGTGAGGAGAGGGGAGAGTATATGTAATTCCCGAGTGTATATATGTAGTCTCAAAAAAGATGATGAGTGAGTGAGTGGGGTTTTGATATGTGATTGTATATTTTCTTTCTTGATTCATAATAGTAAAATCTCTCTCTCATGAATGTAACCCTAGAGTTCGGTGAATTACGTAAAATATTATGTTGTGCATGAATATGCATGATTATTAGCTTCACATATATTTGTATTGATGTGATAATACTTTCACTGCACATGATAAATTAAAATTTTAACTCTCAATAATAATCAACTATTGAGTGGGTCAAAGGAAGTTAAATTTTTTCCTAACAAGACATGATGTTCTACTTACATTATAATTCAATGCCACATGCAAAATATATTCTCCTATATTTAACATCGATGGTGCACACTTATATTATAATTCAATGCAACATGCAACATGTATTCTCGTATATTTAACATCGATGGTGCACCGTTTTTTTTTTAGTTAAAGATTGATGGTGCATTTCTTTAATTCAAATAAATGCTCGGCCGTCCAAAGCGAATCTTTCCACGTAATACAGCCATGTTATTTTACTGCTTTGAGACACATTCATCATCAGCCAGTACAACCATGATTATTTAAATACACCCGTCTGAATTTTTGGTTCGACAAAGAGAGTAGGATTGAAGGTACGCCACTAGTGGTTGCTATGAGACTAATGGTAAAGGATCACCTACCCATGAGACTAATTTGAGTAGCACACCAGTAATGGTTGCTACACAGTCACAACAGCTGAATAGCAACTTGGAGGGCACAATCTCCGGCGACTCAGAAGTGCAGATGTCGGTTTCCAGCAGCGAACGAGGCGGTTGGATCACATTCCCTTTCATCATAGGTCTCTCTCATCTCATATTCAACTATATTTGTGTGTATATATATTATATTTTTGTCGCAGCGACATATTTATACGTGGTGTTTTTGTTCAATATTGCAGCAACCATGTCAGGCTTGACACTAGCCTCTGGTGGAGTGATGGCGAATCTTATTGTTTATCTTATTGGGGAATTCAATGTGAAGAGCATCGATGCTGCCCAAATTTATAACGTGGTTCACGGTTGCACCAGTTTATTTCCGGTCATCGGAGCCATTATTGCCGACTCTTTTTTAGGCTGTTTTTCTGTCATCTCCTTTTCTTCTTTTATCTCTTTGCTGGTAAGTTGTGACAGTAATATATAGTGTCAAATTCACTTTCTTCTTACTACTTAATTACTAGTCATCAATTCATCATATTTTTCTCTTTTAATTATAATATTCAGCTTTTATGAACTAAAAAATGATAGGTTTGTCCACTTGATTGTATTCATGAAAAACATATTATATTAGTTAATATAAGAAAATGTACTAATTAATCAACCATGAAACTGCGAATACTTCAAGAACTAATGACAACAATTTTGTAAACTGATCGAAATCACTACTTTTAAGATTATATATATATTTAAGTTCTTCACCCGAAAAGTAGAATTCCTTACTCTATCTATATGTTCCATACATATATATGATAGATGATAACAATTCATGCACTATATATGTGATAAATGTTTCATAAGAGGAAAAGGGAACATTTAAATATAAGAAACTGTACTAATCAACCATGAAACTGCGAGTAACTAAGAATTAATTCTAGCTTTGTTCCTGTAATGAAGTGTGTGTAAAATTATATGGGTCTTTTTTCCCTTAATTTTGGTTATAGCTATTAAATTTAAGCTTCAATTAACCTCAGAGTTATTCAGTCCATACGTGAATTATTCTTTGCAAGAAAATGTTACTAGAACGGACAAGCTGGTAATATACTTTCTAGGTTGATGTGTATCCAAACACATTAAAAAAACATGATGAAGAGACCCTAGTAATTATTGGAATTCGTTCATTCAAGGTATATCTAATTTATTTATTTATTTTCTCTCCAAATAAAATGCTATTGTTCAAATAAGTATCACAAAACCAGTAGCATATAATTTTCATTATCAGCCAACATCAACACTTGCAGGGCATGGTCCTTTTAGTCCTAACAGCGACACTGGATTCCTTGAGACCTCCACCATGTGAAATTGGATCAATCTTGTGCACAACCCCGTCAAAAATCCAATTCGCAGTCCTATATGCAGGTATAGCACTCGTATCAATAGGTGTCGGGGGCACACGCTACACTATCACAACGATGGGAGCGAACCAATTTGATGATTCCGGGAACCATGCAATCTTCTTTAATTGGTTCTTTTTCGCCATGTACACCTCTTCAGTGGTCAGTCTAACAGCTATTGTCTATGTCGAGGATAATGTGAGTTGGACAATGGGATTTGTTCTGTGTGCCGCGGTTAATGTAATTGGCTTAGCCATTTTTTTGCTGGGAAACCGTTACTATCGTCACATTAAGCCAAAAGGGAGCCCTTTCTCAGATTTAGCTCGGGTTTTCATTGCCGCCATTAGAAAGAGGAAGGTCTTTGTTTCATCCAGGAGTGAGGATTATTACAATGATCATGATGAGATGGAAAGGATGATGCCAACTGCACCAACTAAAAGCTTCAAGTAAGGATACATTTTGAATTACATCCAATTAACAATAATTATGCTATACTATGTAGTGTTCTTAAAAAATCCAAAGATAACAATTAATCTTTTAATGCAGATGCTTAAATCGCGCAGCGCTGAAAACAGAAAAAGACGTACAATTAGATGGCACAATCACAAAATCCTGGAGGCTATGCAGTGTGCAACAAGTAGAAGATCTGAAGACCTTAATTAGAATTTTCCCACTATGGTCCACAGGTATTTTCTTATGGACCACAATGGGGGTCCAAGGCAGCTTAGTAATCCTCCAAACTCTAACCATGGACCGTCACATTGGCCCTCATTTCAAAATTCCACCTGGGTCCATCCTAGTTACTGTATTCATCTCCACCTCCTTCTCTCTCGCCCTCATTGACCGATTCCTATGCCCCACGTGGCAAAAGCTAACTCATCGATCTCCGACACCACTCCAACGTCTTGGGCTCGGCCACGTGTTATGTGTAATTAGCATGGTTGTGTCAGCCTTAGTGGAGTCCAAGCGGCTTGATATAGCCCAGGCCCACCAACTCCAAGACCAGCCCGGTTCCACAGTGCCAATGTTGGCCTTGTGGCTCCTTCCACAACTAGTCATTGCTGGTATCGGTGAGGCTTTTCATTTTCCGGGACAAGTTGCTTTGTACTATCAGGAATTTCCGGTGTCTTTAAGAAGCATGGCAACTGCAATGATCGCGATGATTGCGGGGATAGGTTTTTATCTAAGTACGGCCATCATTGATTTGGCTCGGAAGGTAACTGGATGGTTACCGGATAATATAAATAATGGGAGGCTAGATAATGTGTATTGGATGTTGGTTGTAGTTGGGGTGTTAAACTTTGGTTATTATTTAGTATGTGCAAGGTCGTACAAGTATACAAGTGTTGAGAAGGTTGAGGATGATAATTCTAGCTCTTACAAGTGACGTTGATCCTACAAAATGAAGGAGGTTTAATGTAACTACCCACTGTGTTCCTCAATAAATAGATATATATATATATATATATATATATATATATATATATGACAATTCTAGCTCTTATAATGTCGATCATACAAAACCAAGGGGCTTTAATGTATTTACGTACTGCTAATATATCTCTATTTATCTTGTGATACCTTCATTGATTTCACATCATCAAATGACAATTAAAATCTGTAGTGTGAGAAACATCTTATGTTTTGCCTCTGTTTTTGACACATCATTTGTAAAGCATGAGGTGTGGCAGTGTGGCCACCACTATCAATCCTAGGTTCATTTCTACTTTCCAAACTCACTACTAACTGTTGTCGCGAAAAAAATAAATAAATAAATAAATAAAATAAATTGTATAGTATGTAGGATAATTTTTTTTCGATTTTATGTTCGAAGTATGCTAATGACGTGATAATTTTAATTGTTGATCATAAATTGTGGACTATTGTTATTGGTGTGGCATAACCTGTTGATTATTTGACCAAGTTACATAGATCATTGTAAATAATGTGGATCATTGTAGACCCACACTTGTCATAGCTATGGCGGGCCCAATTTAAAATAATTCACATTATATACCACAATATGCTGCACTCAATTTAATTATTGTTCAGATTTGTCTATGATATCAAGCCACACACTCATTTTATGTTTGGTTGTATCTGTCAAAGTCATTATCAAACTAACTTTGAGTTGATTACCATCTTGGGAAGAGATGGAATTCGTGTGAGAGATGAGAGATGCATTCAGAGAGTGAAAAACAATTTAGAAAGTTCCCTTTGTAGATAGGGTATTTATTATCAATTCATGTACGTATCTCTCTACGCACTAAGCAAACTTAAGATGCAACCAACAATGATTGATACGACACTTCTTTGGGTTTTGATAGATGAATCTTCTTTAGGTTTTGGTCGATAAATTTTCTTAGGGTTTCGACCCTTAGTGTTTCGATCGTGTTTTGTTTTGAAGTTAAAAAGAGAGAAAGACAATGAATGATTAGAGCATTCCCGGTACTAGAATTTATTTACATTGTACACTTTACAAAAAGTGTGATGCCACGTTAGCAATTGTGCTGACATAATTCTACACTTATTTTGAAGAACTTAAAACTCCATTATGCACCATTGTTTACGGTTTACATTATATACAATCACTTTTATTATTTTATATATACAATTACACCACCACACACTATTACTTTTTCATTTTATATATACAACATCCACTTTTTTTGCATCTGTCAGAGGCTACTCATTTCCACACATTTGGAGTGGCAAGTGTACAATGTGTGATGGGGACCGCAAGTGTACAATGCGCACAAGAGAAGCTTTGATTCTACAGAGACTTAGATATTGTACAAATCGGCCATGCGCTGGAATGCTCTAAGGGTTTGGCTACAATCATCTTCAGGGGTGAGGTGCGACTGAGACGACTGGTTAGGTGTTGTGATAGGGGTGAGAGAATAAGTGGGGCAATGGAATGAAGTGTTGAATTGCACAAGGGTTGGTTTGGTCATTTCATTTTACTAAGTTTTTTCAATAAAATCTTGTTATTATATTGGTGGGAAAAATTGTCATTTCAGGTCAACCTATGCATCTAATAGTACAATTATGACAAAGGGCGTGACGCGAGTGAGTGTAGGTTTTGCCGAATTATACATATGTGTGATATAAGAAATGCCTTGTATTATTATTAATATTACGACACTAGTTAGCTTTTCTGATCAGCTTTTCTAGCATTTCTTTAATTCAAATAAATAGCCATCCGTCTATAACGAATCTTTGCAGCTGGCAATCCATCGAAGTCACATTGATTGTCTGGTTCAACAAACGCGATAATTTAAATATCTATTTGAATCAGGAAAATAAATAAATAAATAAATATATATATATATATATATATATATATAGAGAGAGAGACACTCGAATCTTTGGTTTGACAAAAAGAGGACCACTAGTGGGTGGGGTAGTATTTGTCACGTTATATGGTAAAGAGGATAACACCTACCCATGAAATTAATTTGAGTGGTACACTGGAAATGGCTGCTACACAATCACAACAGCTGAATAGCAAATTGGAGGGCACAATCTCCGGCGATGCAGAAGTGCAGATGTCAGATTCCGGTAGCGAACGAGGCGGTTGGTTCACATTCCCCTTCATCATAGGTCTCTCTCATCTCATATTCAACTATATGTGTGTATATTATACGTTGCACCAACATATTTATACGTGGTCTTTTTGTTCAATATTGCAGCAACAATGGCAGGCTTGACACTAGCCTCTCAGGGTGCGACGGCGAATCTTATTGTTTATCTTATTGGGAAATTCAATGTGAAGAGCATCGATGCTGCCCAAATTGTTAACGTGGTTCATGGCTGCAACAGTCTATTTCCGGTCATCGGAGCCATTATTGCCGACTCTTTTTTAGGCTGTTATTGTGTCATCTCCATTTCCTCTTTCATCTCTTTGCTGGTAAGTGGTGAAAATAATATATGGTATCAGATATATTCACTTTCTTCTCACGACTAAATTACTAATCATCAATTCATCATATTGCTCTTTTAATTATAATATTTAACTTTTATGAACTAAAAAAAAGATAACAATTCATGCACCTCAGAGTATTAAGAAACTGGACTAATTAATAAACCATGAAACTGCAAATAATTAAGAACTAATAACAATATTTTTGTAACCCAAAATCACTACATGTAAGAATATCTTTAAATTCTTCACCCAAAAATTAGTTGCTTATTCCATACATATGAGAGATGATAAATGTTTCATAAGAGGAAAAAGGGACAATTATTAATAAGAAACTGCACTAATCAAGCATGAAACTGAACTAAGAATTAAATCTAGTTTGGTTCATGTAATGAAGTGTATGTAAAATTATATGGGGTTCTAGTTTCATCACTAAGCTCAAGCATATGTAGTTCCTTTTGTTCTTTTTGACATGTTTTTCCTTAATTGTGGTTATAGCTATTAAATTGTTATTGTCCAAATAAATACCACAAAATTAACAAGTATCATATAATTTCCATTATCAGTCAACATCAACACTTGCAGGGGATTGTCCTTTTAGTCCTGACGGCGACACTCGATTCCTTGACACCTCCACCATGTGAAATTGGATCGATCTGGTGCACAACCCCATCAAAAAGCCAATTCGCCGTCCTGTATGCAGGTATAGCACTTGTATCAGTAGGTGTCGGGGGCACACGCTTCACTATTGCAACGATGGGAGCGAACCAACTTGATGATTCCACGGATCATGCAATCTTCTTTAATTGGTTCTTCTTCACCATGTACACCTCTTCAATTGTCAGCCTAACAGCTATTGTCTATGTTGAGGATAATGTGAGTTGGACAATGGGGTTTGTCTTATGTGCCGTGGTTAATCTAATTGGCTTAGCCAAAAGGGAGCCCTTTCTTGGATTTAGCTCAGGTTTTCATTGCCGCCATTAGAAAGAGGAAGGTCTTTCTTTCATCCAGAAGTGAGGATTATTACAATGATCGTGATGAGATGGAAAGGATGATGCCAACAGCGCCAACTAAAAGCTTCAAGTAAGGATACATTTTGAATTATTACTTAATTTTTTAATATATGTTTGTGTTTCAAAACGGTAACGTAAAAAGCTAATAGAAGAGAACATTAGATTCAATTAACAATAATTATGCTATGTTCTTCATTTTAATTTGTGTCAGGTGCTTAAATCGTGCAGCACTGAAAACAGAGGAGGACATACCATTAGATGGAACAATCACAAGATCATGGAGGCTATGCACTGTGCAACAAGTAGAAGATCTGAAGACTTTAATCAGAATATTCCCACTATGGTCCACTAGTATTTTATTAAGCACCACAATTGGGATTCAATCCAGCTTAGTAATTCTCCAAACTCTAACCATGGACCGTCACGTTGGACCTCATTTCAAAATCTCTGCCGGGTCCATCCTAGTTTTTGTAATAATCTCCAGCTCCATCTCTCTCACCCTCATTGACCGATTCCTATGTCCCATGTGGCAAAAGCTAACTCGTCGATCTCCGACGCCCCTCCAACGTATCGGGCTCGGCCATATGCTAAATGTACTTGGCATGGTTGTGTCAGCCCTAGTGGAGTCCAAGCGGCTTGAGATAGCTCGAGCTCACCATGTCCAAGACCAGCCCGGTTCCATGGTGCCAATGGTGGCCTTGTGGCTCCTTCCACAGCTGGTTATTGTTGGCATTGGTGAAGCATTTCATTTTCCGGCACAAGTTACATTGTACTATCAGGAATTTCCGGTGTCTTTAAAAAGCACCGCAACTGCTATGATCGCGATGCTTATTGGGATAGGTTTTTATTTAAGTACGGCCGTGATTGATCTGGTTCAGAGGGTAACCGAATGGTTACCGGATAATATAAACAATGGGAAGCTAGATAATATGTATTGGATGTTGGCTGTGGTTGGGGTGTTGAACTTTGGTTATTATTTAGCATGTGCAAGGTCGTACAAGTATAGAAGTGTTGAGAGGGTTGGGGATGATAGTTCTAGCTCTTACAAGTGATGTTGATCATACAACGAAGAGGCTTTAATGTATCTACGTACTGCTAATATATATCTATTTATCGTGTGATACATTCATTGATTTCACATTCATTAAATAACAATTAAAATCTGTAGTGTGAGAAACATCTTATGTTTTGCCTCTGTTTTTGGCATGGTGGATCATTTCAAGTGTTTTACCAGAGAGATCTGACAGGTTAAGAAAAAATAAAGAAATTTCATTTAGAAGCAAAAAACAGTTTGAGCAATTTTATGCTTGTATATTATTTATCAAGGATTAGATCAGACGAAGATTCAAAGAAAAGGTTAGAATTCACTTAGAACAATATCGACAAAGTGAATGATATTTGAGGGTACAAATAAAATTTCAAAAAAGTTTGGGGGGCCATGGCGGCATATGGCCTCAACCGTCATCCATCAACAAAAAAAAAAAGTACTATGACACCATGCAAAATTACTATTTTACCCCTCCTAACTAAAAAGACATTCTTGACCTCACTTTTCACATTTAAAACACTATATTGCCTCAACTTTACCTTTTTAATTGGACAAAACTACCCCTATTTCCCTTTCATCTGTAAGACGCATAATCTTAACTATATGTATATACTTTTCCCACTTCCATATTTGTATCATAATCTCATCTATACATGTATGCATATTGTGGTATTCAACCCCTATTTCTCATCTCATTTCTTAAACATCTCAAATCCAATATCACAGTCGCTAACACTAATATATGCATATAAATGAAAACTCATATATATATATATATATATATATATATATATATATATATATATAGAGAGAGAGAGAGAAACAAAAGTTTGCATACTTATCGTAGCCATGGCGGGTCT